ATGTGCTCACACCCCCACACACAGTGAGAGATGATTACGGTCATGATACACACATGCCTGACTGACGAAGACAAAGTACACTAATGGCTTGAATTTGTGCTGGTTGCCTACAGTATTCGTGAGTCATAGTGAATTAGTTCATGCATGCAGTTCATTGCAGGGGTGAATGGGCACGTATATTCTCACAGTTCCTTAGAGCCTGACTAGCAATGGTTTATACATATTCTGAGCAGTAGTGGTTAAAGCATGTATGTGTTATTCTAAGTTGTATTTGTTTGATAGATATAGATTCAAATGTATTGGTCTTTATCAGAAGGTCCGTGTAGGTCCATGTAATCCCCAAATGCAGTAATCAATTTGTAATATTCTTTTTGATTAAAGTACGTCTGAAAATGCATATTAATTGGCTGATATGTAAAAATATGTTATTATTATTATTTTTTGTATTTACACATTGATAGTGGTGTGTTAATCATGTGAGCTAGCTAATCTGCACTAAATCATTGTGAGGTACAATCCATAACGGTTAACTATTTAGCTACAGCTACGTAGTATTTTAATTGGTTAGTGTTGTATGCACCATACATCTGTGTGTTTATGGCACTTTAGCTCACATTATATTGTAGGTCCAGTTTAATAAACAACTCAATGTTTTTACATATGTAGTTAGTAGGGGGTCCTTGCGTAATCTCTCTTTTAGCTTAAAGGTCCTTGGCTTGAACAAAATTAAAGACCCCGGTTCTAATTTAGTTGTTTAAGAAAACACTGACAGGTCATTGCCTAGTTAATGTAGGTAATAGAAAAAGAAAGCCCATATATAGGATTGAATCTATCTGAAATTGAAGATTATTTAGTTTGTTACATTTTATGTAAACATTTTAAGAGGTTGTTATGGCGTCATGGCGGAGTTATCATGTTCACCAGAATTGGACACATTGGGCGCAGACTACCTGGTGGACTTGCATGTCATATCCCCGCTTGAATTTGTTCTTTATAAGTATTGCCACGAATATAATTAGATCTTACATCATTCACCTGAGAAGGTTGTCATGGTTAAGTTGGCACAGTGAGAATACGCCTGAAGAACAACAATGTTATGGTTTAGGTGTTTTGCTTTCTCCTCCTCCCCTCTGTCTTCTCTCTCTCTCTCCTGTGCAGTGTGGTGATCGTTAGAAGACTCAGCTGGTTCACAATGAGGAGCACACTGTACTCATCTAATCAACTCCTCCATAAAACCCTGGTCATGTTCACACTCCAGTGCCAGATAATTCCGTCTCACTCGGTAGAGCTGAACGTCGTAGTATCCTAGCTTAGTGTGATTTTCTCTTTCTGTTTTTGTTGAAGAGTAACCTTGTTTTTTTCCTGTTTTTCCAGTGTCTGCTCGAGCCAGCCTGAGTCCTGCCGCCGCCACCGGCGTGAACTAGATCCACCTTCATTTTGTGGATTGTTTATTAGTTGCTCCTTTTTTCCTTTATTAAACTTTGTTAAAAGACTGAATCCATCTGGTCTCTGCCATTGTAGGTCCTGAACTTTTGACCCAGCCTTAACAAACAAGACACAAAGAAAAAGCCACACAGTATCCACCAAACAGCTGGGTGCCAAATGCAAACAATTCATATCTCAACATTCGGGACTAAAAGTCTGTGCATGCATGAATGAAAACATACATTATGCATACACAGTATCCGAACAGTTATGTATTTTTCAGTGTAATACATCTCTATAACGATAAAGGTTTACACGCCACAGCTTGAATCTGTTTGGGCAATAAACCCGAAAGCCACAGAAGCCCTCCAAAGTGATATACAGTATGACATGTGGTTTTGCAGTGTCTTACTGAGGCAGAAGAAACTATTGCATGTAATGAATTTACTGTTTAATTTAAATGACTGTCAGCTAATTTACCAGCTCAAAGTGTTTGTTCAAAGAGTGTTTACATCAAAACATGCAGCCAACATCCTACAAACATATCTGGCACTTCAAAATAACATTTCACTGACTATCCAATAGCAAAAAAGCTAGGTGTAAATAAAACCAATAATCATTTGTGACAAATAAGTATCAATTGATTGTTTTTCTTTAACAATGTGACAAAATAACACCTAAATAATGACGTCATGCATAATGTGTTACTTAGTGGATCTTCAAAAAAATGTTTAGGGAGATTTGCTGTGTTTCTCTGTCCATATTAAACACAACATATTTGGGGTTGCACTGTTAAAAAATAAATGTAAAAGACATTTAGCATTTGAATCGTCAGATTCATTGATAATGAACATCATCTCATAATCTAGTTATAACAAACCAGAGTCATACTTTAACCAAAGTAAGAAAGACATTTTAATTACTCCTTATATTATATCTAATAATATGTGTTAGATCTGTCCTCCTTCCTTGAAGAAATCATCCCCTTGTGTTATCCATAAGAGACAAATTACTTATGTTTTGAACTAAATACCTCCTGTGTTACTTCACAAAACACAAGCAGAAATCTAGATGAGGTCAATTGTTATGTGTACTCTGATTAAGTTAATTTGTTTAAATTCGTTTTTCCTGTCTGATGTTGCATTATTCAGACTTAGATTAATGTAATGTCTCCAAAAAGATCTTCAAAGACAAAGCATGAAAGATAAGAGAAAGAGACAGAGACCAAGTGAAGCACCTCTCCTTCGGTAATAGTTTCATTTCATCAGCATCCGATGCGGTGCTGTCGGCGTGGTAATTATGTCTCCCCTCGAGGCCAATATGAGGCAGACACAGGTTAATGTGTTGTGAAAGCAAAAGGAACGTTTTCTGCAGCATTTAAGCACAAGGGTTTTGCTTTGAAAGTGATTCTGTTCATCTGCTCTGATGAGACAAAGTTGGCATATTCATACGATAAGGTGCACCTGATCGTAAAAATCTGACTTTTCATTTCCAGCTCTCAGTTAAATGGTGGCTCAGTTCCTCCAGGATACAATATCAAGCCATCATCTCAAATAATTAGTGGTCTCACAGCCACCTCCCAATCAAGTGAAAATAAAGAGATCACAACAACGCTGACAAGACAATTACATACTGCCATTTCATTTCACATTCACTATATACACCTATCAGTCATCGTAGTGCTGTACAACATATATTTATTCCACTTGCAATTAAACCTACATTTAGTGTTCCTGCCCTAAGTTCGGACAGCTTTTTCTTTTTCAAAGATAAACAGCATAAAGAAGCCATGCTTATATCAGCTATGAAATCCAGAAAGGCTAGTGATCCCAGTAGAGCCCTGTGGTGCTTCCATTCATTATTTAGATTCTGGAATTATGTTGTGCTTCATTTACTAACGAAGGAAGAAGGCAGGGACATACTGTTAGAAAGAGTGCGTTATCGGTTATTGTTACTACTAATTACCATTTCTTGGTCAAATACGTGACCGAATATAACTTTTTTTTTGTACTACCTTTATTTGCATTATGTTTCAAATGTGTCCAAGAGCTAAAGATGGTTTCTAATAAGTAACTGGCCCAATTTAATTTGTAAGTATGTATATGCTATGAAGGTAAAAAAGGTCACCTTACTGTAAGTACTGCTCCACAAATTCCCCAAAATAGTCACTGCATTTCTCTAGACAGCAAAAGGTGTGTTGAAGGCCAAATTGAAAACACAAAGTCATAAAACAGCAAGACTTCATCAATTAAAATAAATATTTTCCAATTTTGGAAATAGAATTTTACATTTCTCCATGTATGAAGACAATTTCCATTGTAATTGAGCAGGAGGCGGCTCAGGACCTTTTGATCACCATTACTGTTATAGCTGCTTAATTTTACGACATTTATATTTATGCACCAAATGGGAAAGCTTTAATTAGCATAGTGCTTCCTTCATAAGTTGTTAAACATGACTTACGTTTAACTACCTGTACGGTCCATCTAAAAAGCCATGTTCCTCGAGGACTTAATGAAATGGTAAATATAATATAGTCTAGGCGTTCTCACAGCACAGAGGGACTGTCCATAAAAATCTTTAGCGCTGCTGAACTGTACTTCAGGCATGAGGGCCACAGTATGGTGAAGGACATAGGCTTTCAATCAGGTGATTTTTTCTCCAAAGTGGAGTTTTACATTCATTAAATGTAGATCAATTCTGTGGATCGTCATGCGCTACTTTGAAAAGGTGATCATAGATTGCAAGAGAATGAAGGTAGGAGACAACCTCACTTTAAACGGTGTTTTATATTTTTTGCAATATACCCCAATTATTTTTGCTAAATGGGGATGCACAACGATCTATTTGTCCCTTCCCTATCGAGGGAGTTAACAGCCAAGTGCTACCTACATAACACATAATGTTGCCAGAATCTTCTTCTCCCTTGCCAGCAAGAGGTTTTTCACACCATCCCGCCACATGGAGGCCACCATCAAGTCTGTAGGGCAGCCATAGAAATGTGATTCCACACCAGCTTCCCACATGTCACCATGTGCCAACTGTGTTTGTTGGAACACACAACCAAGCTGGAGGTACCAATACAGGAAATCAAACTATGGCTTGATTGGGTTCCCAAACAAATGGGCAGGGATCCACAAAGATTTAGTCTGTGCAGTACTAAATTACCTAGTTTTAACATTGAAAGCTTCTATTGGGTTACAATTAAGCCTGAAATGGCTTTGTGGTGTTTTGTGAGCAGGAAGCTGGAGAGCAAACAGTTTTAACCGTATTAAAAAAGTTTGACTAAACACCAAAAAAGAAGGATTGAAGTCAAATTGAAAACCGGGTCTCTGTGGGGATGAATATACTACTCCTGTGACCAGTGTGCCCTTTTGCCTAATATAAGTTTGTTCAATTTTTCTCTCAAGTATTGACTTTTCACAGCGTTAGGACTACTTTATTTGTCTGTTCAATATACACTACAGCACAAATTCAGTTGCTGCTCTGAACGTTTCCGATTCTATTTCTGTTGGAGCTTTTAATGGTAGATTAGCATTAGCTTTTTAGCTTCTGAGCTGCTTTACATGTCTTACCTGATGTGTCCCCATTTGGCTTTGAAGGTTTGACCGTCTCCACGAAGCCTCCTGTGGCCTTGGTGGTGCTTATCCTATTGGCCTCTGGTGTGGTCACCACAGTGAACGTCCTTTGAGTGAGACTGGTTGTACTGCTAGTGGTCGTGGCCACTGTGGAGGTTGAGACCTTGGTGGACAGCGTTACGTTGGGTTTACCGACGTCATCTATGCTATCTGTCCCCGTGGGTCCCCAGTCGATAAATCCGGCCACTGTGGTAGTCCGGCCCTCCTGAGACTTATCATTGTCCCATTTGAGCTGCCTCCTGGCTCGAAGTAACAACCTCACTGCGTCTCCTCTACTGCCGCTGGATAAAGCTGCTGGAGCTTCCGCTATTACAGCCAAAGGATCACCACTCTCCATGTGAGAGTTTCTCAACCGGCACTCCTTACATCCAGCTTGTCCTTTATGTGCTGGCTTCCTATGCTTTTGACTCTTGACTTTTGGCCCTATCCCTGCCCTGTTGTCTTGAGGCGGAGGGATAGGGTTGAGGAGGCGGCGGGCCAACGGGCTCACTGTTCTCCAGTGGAGCTTGTTGGGCGTGTCCCAGAGCGGCTGCCAGCGAGGTCGAGAGCGAGGCACCGATTTAGGCGTGAGTTTGACCCCCGTACCCTGATTGAGGGGGCTGCACACAGAGAAGTCCAGGGTGAGGTGGGTCATGGCCAGCAGGATCCACACCCGGTGCCCAACACAGCTGCCTGGCCTAAAAGCAGACGGACTACAGAGAAGGGGAGAAAGTAGAAGAAAGAAAAAAGAAAAAAGCTTTAGATTCAAACCATCTACAGTACACAATTCAAGTTTCCTTCGTCTCCCACCATCAAGTCAATGGTCTGTATTAGAGATTCACATTCGATTCACCCTCCATTTGCTCTCACGGCCAAGTTCTACTCCACAACTTCTTCAACTACTCAATTAAAGCTTCGATAATAATTAGCTTCACTGCTCGCCTCTTGAATTACAGTTTAAAGGTCAGGCAGAAAGGAAATGTTGTAAAACATGTGAAAGATTATAGATTTGCACTCTTTGCTCTCAGCTGTCAAACGCAGTGAGGACTTATCCTTGATGTTGCAGATTCATATCAATCCAGGGATGATTACACCGACACACAAGGTCAAGCCTGGTTTAGCTCATCATATTCGGCATTATCTCCCTCAGACACAAAGTCATCTGATTCCCAAAGGGCAATTTGATTATGCAGTGCAATGATCGGGGAGGTAACACGCAATGCCCGTAGAAGACACAGCGTGACATGTCTGTCGCACAAAGCGTCACCTACCGCTTTAATGTATTCAAAAGTATGAACAACAATGTCCTTTGTGACTGTATAAACCTCCCTTTCGCCCATCAACAAGATGGCAAGGTGATAGATAGGCCGGCTGTTCAGGCCAGGACCCTGCAGTAGACTGATTTTTACAGACAACCTTCAGTGCCTCCCAGGACAAAGCTACACATTGATTCCTAAGGGAGAAACCTCATTATGGGATATCTTTCATCTCGGCTGTCCTTGGCCAATTTAAGCCCACACGGATGACTCATTTTGGAAGCAACACCGAGGTGATGATAGATGGAAAAGTGTGAATGGGTTCATCGATGGTCAGAGGCGACGGGGAGATGTTGTCGTTGACATCTCATAAAGTTTTTCTTTTCTACAGAGCTTTTGTTTTTTCTCTCACTTTTGTCCAATTATACTTTAGTGACACTTGTGAACTAGACTTCCTTTGGGAAGGTTTCAATGTATTCATCATAAGTGGTTCTTCTCACATGCCAATCTACAAGACATTTTGAAATCAAAATAGTTCAGCAAATGGAAACAATATAGTAGATATTTCCAAGTGATTTGATGGATTATAACTGCTCAACAATGGATTTAAAATGCTGTAGGATGTCAATATTAATCAGAAATTCAATCTGTCCAACACATTGTATGCCCTGTTCTCTTGTCAGTAAACTGGGCTTGGTTGTTTTCTTTTCCTTGCAAAATACAAGCATCTGACAGTTATGTTTAACACTAAATGTATATGGCAGATTCAAATTACTTTAGGATTAGGATTTGTGGGATGTATTTGAATTACTTTCAAACTAATTGAATGTTCAGCCCTACTACTGACTTTTTTATCAGAACAAACTATTTGTGCTTTTATAATCGAGATGTTGTAGTTAGTGGTTTCAAAACGCTGGACATTAATGACGAGGGATCACATGTTGAAATGTGCTCTCATCCTTCATTGACATACATTTGGTCCTAAATCAGCATACTTGTAATAGAACAATAGGACCTTTCAAGTAATGTTCAACATTTGTGGAGAAACTTACACTAAGTATAAGGAGTTTAGGAGGAGATTTTGAACCATGTTTTGATTATTCATTTCACCTCTCATTGACTTCTGAGGGACCAGCAATGCACTAACTGATAAATAACTTTGATTGGCATTTGAATTGAGCCATAAACGGTGAATGATGTGGCCGTTAAACAGCAGTGACAAGGTCAGTGTATTATTGACAGGTAAAAATATGGGTAATAACTTGTGGTGTGAGTGTTTTGGCTATGACCTCCGACAGGGATCCTGGCACTTCCCCAATCAACACACTCAGGCTGACTTCAGTTTAACTCTCGAGGGCACATTAACGCCATATCTGATAGGGAAAGCGGTGTGACTTGTCATAAATAATATGATCTGGAGCTAAATGAAAGGAAGAGATGTATCACTTTAATAGCCAGGTTTGTTAAGCACCAAGTACCAAACGTTCTGAATGAAGACAACAGATTACTGACAATGACAGCAGGCTGTGTACGGGTTTTGTGTGCAATAACAACCAAAATGATTCAAACCTGTCAGAATATTTGAAAACAGTCTTGCTTGAACGCATCAGAGAAGAGTTTTGATACTAAAAATCATTATAAAGAGGTAAATATTCATGTAATCCATTAAGCACTGATACAACATGTACATTTTTGAAGATTTTTAAACCTGCACCAAAGTTCTCTTTTGTATCTTAATCAATCAAGACCTGTTTTAAATATCTACCACTAAATGAATATAATGTGTGAAAAAAGTTTAAACTCCAGGCCAGCACAGAGCATGATAATGCTACTAAATCTGCTTTCTAGCTGGTGTGAAAAACAACATAAAACCCTTTTCTACTAGTGCCCATATTAATTGTCAAACACTTGCTTCGTGTTTAATTATGTGTAAATTAATCAGCATAGACACTGTTTGATTAAACAATTATTCTCAATAAACCAGAATGTGTATCTGTCCTTTAAATGTTTTCAGGTTTTCATCAGCTATTACTTATATTACCTAGGTGAAGACAACAATTAAAATGGAATCAGTAATTACTGCACTTCACCATATTGTCTTTAGGGATTCTGTTCACCAACACGGCTCAGCCTGCTTGCTGTGGAACTAAATGATTAATGTAAAAAACAATCACTATATTACGTGATGACTGTGTTATTAAAGTGTTATGCAATTTATCGTCAAGAACAGTTTTGTTGAGATTATTCTGCCACATCATGAATTCAAAATGAATGCCCAACATTTGTATCATTATCTGCAACGTTTTTGATTTTGTATTAGTATTTTTAGATGAAAGTCATCATGACTTAATTAATTTAGTTCCAGCACATGCAACAAATAAAATGAACTAAAAATAATATTTTCCAAGACCTGAAGTTTCATAACTTATGAGCAACACTTTAATATTCTTTGACATCCCACACAATGAAACATATCATTTGGAAGTACACTGCACAGATGGCAGATAAAGTGCAGTATTCACAGCGTGAGCATACCAGATTGCTTTCTGGTGGGAATGTGTGTCTGGTGTCCTATTTTATAAGCACATGCTCCATCATGCCGTCATTACTAACTTCAGAATATAGTTAAGCCTCAGCAATATGACAGGAAATCCCTTTAGTGAAGATTGTGACACCTCCCGATTCTGAGCCTGCACGGTCCCCGCCTAACATTTCTATTATCACAAAGCATTGGGATTGTACTTTGAGTCGCCACGGGGCACACTGGCAGATGGATTTTCATCACAAAACACACAGTTTTGGACTGAACAAAATAACAGTGCAGCTGTTCTTATCGAATCAACACCTCCCAACTTTAGTTTTATGAGTCAGAAAATAATGCATAAGAAAGGGGGTGGAGTTGCTATTTTGTTCAATGATTCCATTCAATGCAGGAAGACATCTTATGGGAACTTTGCTTCTTTTGAATATGTGGCCCTTCAGCTGAAATGCTCCTCTCGAGCTCTGTTCCTAAATATCTATAGACCACCCAAATACTGTGCAAGGTTTTTTGATGACTTTACTGAACTGCTGTCTATAGTGTGTATTGACTTTGACCGTCTAGTCATTGTTGGTGATTTTAACATCCATGTTGACAACCCCCAGGACAGAGGGGCTAAAGAAGTGTTTTGTGTTCTTGATAGCTATGGACTGACTCAGCATGTGACGGAGCCCACACACAATAAGGGGCACACTCTGGACTTAATTATCTCAAAGGGTCTGAATATCTCTAAGGTTGTGGTGACTGTTGTTGCACTCTCTGACCATTCCTGTGTGTTCTTTGAGAGCTCTATTTCTGTTCACAAAACTGTTCAAAAAGAGGTAACCACAAAGCGATATTTAACTGAAAATACTAGGGAAATGTTTACTCAGAATTTTTCTTCCACACTTGCCCCTGCTAACATCTCAGTAAATGAGCTAGTCGATCATTTTAATTCAAAAATTAAAAATGTTATAGATGCCATTGCTCCAACTAAGGTAAAGGAAGTGTCTGGCAAGAAAATATCTCCATGGAGAAAGGCCATGACCGTGAAAACAGAAAAAAGAGAATGTCGAAAAGCTGAACGCAGGTGGCGAAAAACAAATCTCCAGGTTCACTTTGAAATCTATAAAGAGAGACTTGGCCTTTATAATTTGGAATTGAAAAACGCACGACAATCGTTCTTATCTGACATCATTACCAAAAACAAAAACAATGCACGTGCCTTGTTTGCTACCGTCGACAGACTAACTAACCCCCCAGTGTCAGTAGCCTCTGAATTTCTATCCACCAGGGCACGCAATGATTTTGCCTCCTTCTTCACTGACAAAATTCAGAAAATCAGACAAGCAGTCAGTGCCTCTGCATCAGGAACAGCGAATGTGTTGTCTCTGTGTCCACTTAACATCAATTCAAACACCATGACACAATTCCATCAGATTAATGATAAAAACCTAGAGGACATTATTCAACTTCTGAAATCCTCCTCCTGCTGTCTTGATATTATTCCAACAGGATTTTTCAAAGATGTTTTGCCTTGCATGGCCTCAGATCTACTTCATATAGTAAACACATCTCTTCACTCAGGTATTTTTCCACAGGCCCTGAAAACTGCAGTCATTAAACCGCTCTTAAAAAAGAATAATCTAGATGCTTCAGTAATGAACAATTACAGGCCCATATCAAACCTCCCATTTCTAGGTAAAATCATTGAAAAAGTTGTTTTTCAACAGTTGAGTAATTTCTTGCATTTAAATAACTGTTTTGATGTGTTCCAGTCAGGCTTTCGTCCAAACCACAGCACTGAGACTGCTCTTGTAAAGGTCTTCAATGACATCCACTTAAACACAGACAGTGGCAGAACTTCAGTGTTAGTATGATTAGATCTCAGTGCTGCGTTTGACACTGTTGACCACAGCATATTACTAGACCGACTAGA